GTATTATCTGCCCTTCGTGGCCCACGCTCGTTCGCGCTCTTCGTGGCCCCATACGCATTCCCTTCGTGTCCCCGCTGTCGCCCTTCGTGGCCTACTTCGTGTCCTTCGTGGCTCTGCTGCCGTTCTCTCTCGCTCTCGCTTTCGCTCGTCGTCGTCGTCGCCGTCGCCGTCGTTGCCGTCGTCGTCGACGTCGTCGTCGTCGTCGTCGTCGTCGTCGTCGTCGTCGTCGTGTCGGTCCCCTGTCCGTCCCTCTTGGGGTCGGGTCGACGGTCCGCGGCCGCCCCGCCGATCAGCGCTGCCGCTGGCCAGGCCGACGGTCCGCGGCCGCCCCGCCGCTTGCGGGGGCCCGGCCTGCAGGGACGAAAGGTATACCCCCCAAAAGGGGTTCGATCGAAGACGAAGAGTGCGGGTATCGAGGGTTTGGGAGATACGCGTTATTGGACACTCGATCATATAAGGGCGAACAGTCTTAAACTGATTGTTGTTGTTGCTGCTGCTGCTGCTGCTGTTGTTGTTGTTGTTGTTGTTGGTGTTGGTGTTGGTGTTGTTGTTGTTGTTGTTGTTGTTGTTGTTGTTGTTGTTGTTGTTGTTGTTGTTGTTGTTGTTGAACTCTCATTCTTGAAGAATAATTGTTGTTGAGCCCCCCTTACCGGTGCACATTGTTTTTTGTCAATTGAAGTGCACCCCCGGGGCTCGCACCTTGTTTTCTGTCAAGGAAAGTCTTCCTGCTCAAAGTCGCCCCCTGGCCCCCGGGTTACAACAACAACGGATCCCGCTGGAGATGCCCTTACAATTTAGCCAGGACCCCCGCTCCCGCCCGAGACTTCCTCGCATTTTATTCAAGAATCGCGCTCTCGCTTGGGACTTCCTCCCGATTTATTCAGGAATCGCTCCTCCTGCGCTCTGGAGTCGCGCTCTCGCTGGAGACTTGCTTGCAATTTATTGAAGAATAGCGCCCTTGCGTTGGAATTTCTTGCAATTTACTCCAGCGCCGCGCTCCCGACACCCAGGCACCCAGGAGTCGCGCTCACGCTTAGGACTCCTTCACAGATTACCTAGGAATCGGGATCTCGCTGCCCTTCGCAGCCCTTCGTGGCCCCCTCGCTTTGTTTCGTGGCCCCGTTGCAGCCCTTCGTGGCCCCCTCGGTTTGTTTCGTGGCCCCGTTGCAGCCCCTCGTGGCCTCCTCGTTGCCCTTCGTGGCCCCGTTGCAGCCCTTCGTGGCCCCCCCTCTTTGTTTCGTGGCCCCGTTGCAGCCCTTCGTGCAGCCCTTCGTGGCCCCGTTGCAGCCCTTCGTGGCCCCCTCGCTGCCCTTCGCGGCCCCGTTGCAACCCTTCGTGGCCCCCTCGCTTTGTTTCGTGGCCCCATGTATGTATGCCCTTCGTGGCCCTGCTGTCGTTCGCGCCCGTGGTGGCCCCATATGCATGCCCTTTTTGGCCCCGCTGTCGCCCTTCGTGGCCCCCTCGCTGCCCTTCGTGTCCCCGTTGCTGCCCTCAGTGGCCCCGTCCGTACCCTCCGCGGCCCAACATACGTATGCCCTTCGTGGCCCCCGCTCGTTCGCGCCCGTTGTGGCCCCATGTGCATGCCCTTCGTGGCCCCGCTGTCGCCGTTTGTGGCCCCCTCACTGTCCTACGTGGCCCAGGTGCTACCCTCAGTGGCCCCATCGTTGCCTTCTGTGGCCCCGCATTATCTGCCCTTCGTGGCCCACGCTCGTTCGCGCTCTTCGTGGCCCCATACGCATTCCCTTCGTGTCCCCGCTGTCGCCCTACGTGGCCTACTTCGTGTCCTTCGTGGCTCTGCTGTCGTTCTCTCTCGCTCTCGCTTTCGCTCGTCGTCGTCGTCGCCGTCGCCGTCGTTGCCGTCGTCGTCGACGTCGTCGTCGTCGTCGTCGTCGTCGGTCCCCTGTCCGTCCCTCTTGGGGTCGGGTCGACGGTCCGCGGCCGCCCCGCCGATCAGCGCTGCCGCTGGCCAGGCCGACGGTCCGCGGCCGCCCCGCCGCTTGCCGGGGCCCAGCTCGCAGGGAAAGGTATACCCCCCAAAAGGGATTCAATCGAAGACGAAAAGGGTGGGTATCGAGGGTTTGGGAATTTCGCGTTATCCGACACTCGAGCAGATAAGGGCGAACAGTCTTAACATGATTGTTGCTGTTGTTGTTGTTGTTGTTGGTGGTGGTGGTGGTGTTGTTGTTGTTTTTGTTGTTTTTGTTTTGTTGTTGTTGTTGTTGATGTTGTTGGGGTTGGGGGGGGGCCGTGTTGGTGCCCCCCCAAACCGCTCAAGCGTGAGCCTCATTGTCAATCAACATGTAGCCAGCGCCGAGGCGAGAGCGCCAAAACGCCTGGGGGCGGGTCCAAGACTAAATTTTACCAGTGCGGCCCTACCTAGGAGTTGGAGCCCCTAGGAAAGCAGCATGAGCTAAGCTAAGCTAAGCAAAGTTAAGCTAAACTAAGATAGCTAAGCTAAGCTAAGACAAGCTAAGAGGATGTAGGCTAAGCTAAGCTAGGCTAGGCTAAGCTAAGCTAAGCTAGGCTAGGCTAAACTAAGCTAAAGCTCAGCCAAGCTAAGATGATATAAACTAAGCTAAGCTAAGCTAAGCTAAGATGAGATAAGCTAAGCTAAGCTAGGCTAGACTAAGCTAAGCTAAGCTAGACTAAGCTAAGCTGGGCTAGGCTAAGCTAAGCTAGGCTAAGCTAAGCTAAGCTAAGATGATATAAGCAAAGCTAAGCTAATCCACGCTGAGCTAAGCTAAGCTAAGGTATGCTAAGGTAAGGTCAGGTAAGCTATGCTAGGCTAGGCTAAGCTAAGGGGGCGATATGCTAAGCTATGCTAAGGTATGCTATGCAATACTGTGCTATGTTATGCTATGCTGTGTTATGCTATGCCATGCTATGCTATGCTACGCTAAGCTAAGCTACATTAGGTTAAGCTAAGCTAGGCTAAGCTAAGCTAAGCTAAGCTAAGGTAAGCCAAGCTAAGCTAAGCTAAGCTAAGCCACGCTAAGCTAAGCCAAGCTAAGCTAAGACGAGATAAGCTAAGCCAAGCTAAGGGGGCGCGACTGGGGGAACCGCGGGGCGGGGACTGGGGGAACCGCCCGGGGCGCTTTCCACTGCCCGGCCCCTTTAAGCTAGAGAGTAAGAACCCTTCTAGGCAGAGCCTAGGTAGGGAATAATTGTTTAGCAATTAACATTCAACAACAACAATGCAACAAGCAGAATCCTCACCACGGATCCCCACTAGAGCCACGCACCCAGGGGCAATGAATGACCGTTCGGCCCCCCTTCACTCTGATCGATTATCCCAGTGCGACCCTACCTAGGAGTTGGAAAACCCTAGGATAGCAGCATTAGTAGTAACAGTAATGCTAAGCTAAAGCTAAGCCACAGCTAAGCTAAAGCGAAGCTAACGCTAAGCTAAAGCTAAGCTAACGCTAAGCTGAAGCTAAGCTAAACATAAGCTAACGCTAAGCTAAAGCTAAGCTGAAGCTAAGCTAAAGCTGAGCAGAAGCTAAGCTAACGCTAAGCTACAGCTAAGCTAAATATAAGCTAAAGCTAAGCTAAAACTAAGCTAAAGCCAACCTACAGCTAAGCTGAAGGCTAAGCTAAAGGCTAAGCTAAAGGCAAAGCTAAACGCTAAGGTAAACGCTGAGCTAAACGCTGAGCTAAACGCTAAGCTAAAGCTAAGCTAAAGCTAAGCTAAAGCTAAAGCTAAAGCTAAGCTAAAGCTAAGCTAAAGCTAAACTAAAGCTAAAGCTAAAGCTAACGCTGAAGCTAATGCTAAAGCTAAAGCTCCCAGGGGACTGGGGGAACCGCGGGGCGGGGACTGGGCGAACCGCCCAGGGCGCTTTCCACTGCCCGGCCCCTTTAAGCTAGAGAGTAAGAACCTTTTCTAGGCAGAGCCTAGGTAGGGAACAAATATATATATATATATATACAGATGTACACACACACATATATATATATGCATATTATCCCGGTGCGACCCTACCTAGGAGTTGGAACCCCTAGGAAAGCAGCATTAGTAGTAACAGTAACGCTAAGCTAAAGCTAAGCTAAAGCTAAGCTAAAGCTGAGCTAAAGCTAAGCCACAGCTGAGCTAAAGCTAAGCTAAAGCTAAGCTGAAGCTAAGCTGAAGCTAAGCTAAAGCTAAGCTAAATCTGAGCAACAGCTAAGCTAAAACTAAGCTACAGCTAAGCTAAAGCTAAGCTAAAGCTAAGCTAAAGCTAAGCTAAAGCTAAGCTAAAGCTAAGCTAAAGCTAAGCTAAAGCTAAGCTAACGCTAAGCTAAAGCTGAGCTGCAGCTAAGCTCAAGCTAAGCTAAAGCTAAGCTAAAGCTAAGCTAAAGCTAAGCTAAAGCTAAGCTAAACGCTAAGCGAAAAGCTAAGCGAAACGCTAAGCGAAACGCTAAGCTAAAGCTAAGCTACATCTAAGCTAAAACTAAGCTAAAGCTAAGCTAAAGCTAAAGCTAAAGCTAAAGCTAAAGCTAAAGCTAAAGCTAAAGCTAAAGCTAAAGGGGGACTGGGGGGAACCGCTCCCAGGGGACTGGGGGAACCGCCCAGGGCGCTTTCCACTGCCCGGCCCCTTTAAGCTAGAGAGTAAGAACCCTTCTAGGCAGAGCCTAGGTAGGGAATATATATATATATATATATATATACATATATATATATATAAGAAGGAGGGATAGGGGGTGGAGGATGACGAGGAGGGCCAGGAGGACGAGGAGGAGGAGGAGGAGGAGGAGGAGGAGGAGGAGGAGGAGACCCAGTGCCCTGATGGAGCCTTCGGGGGAAATCCGTCCAGGCCTTCGGGGGGGCCTCCCAGGCCTCCGGAAGGGGGTTGGAGTAGATGAGGTCGGAGGATCGCGCCCTATCGCCGATTCATCGGCGATGCGGCGCGATGTGTAGCCCGACCTCCTCCGCGACGATGTCGCCGATGCATCGGTGATGCGGGGCGATCCTCCGACCCCATCTACTCGGACCCCATGTGGGACGCCTCTAGTCGCGCTCTCAGGACCGACGTCTGCGAGGTCGACGCCGACTCCGCCAACGGGGCCGAGGAGTCCCCCGAGGACACGAGCGAGGCTGGCGTCGCCGCGGAAGGTCGGGCGGGAAGGCACAAAGCAGGCAGGGCAGGCTGCTTTCCCTCCCTCCCTCCCTGCCTCCTCCTCCTCGCTCCTCGCTCCTCCCCTCCTCCTCCTCTCTCCTCCTCCTCCTCCTCCTCCTCCTCCTCCTCCTCCTCCTCCTCCTCCCTCCTCCTCCTCCTCCTCCTCCTCCTCTCCTCTCCTCCTCCCTCCTCCTCCTCCTCCTCCTCCTCCTCCTCCTCCTCCTCCTCCTCCTCCTCCTCCTCCTTCTCCTCCTCGCTCCTTCTCGCTCCTCCTTCTCCTCCTCCTCGTCCTTCGTCTTCGGAGTTCCTTCCTCGCCCCGCCGGGCCGCCGCGTTGGCTGCGCCAGCGCGGGGGCTTCTCGCGGTGGCGGCCACGAGACTGGCGGGCAGAGAGCCCGGCTGCCGCGCAGAGCTGCGGGGAGGGCCGGCCGCAGACTCGGCAGGCCCTGCAAGCAGCTTGCGCCTCTGCGGCCACGGGCGCGAGGCCAGGGCAGGCCGCGGTGTGCCCGCTGGCCTTGTGGACGACGATCAATGGGGAGGAAGCGTGTTGCCAAACAGCTTTCAGCTGTCTAAACCATGTCTTGGACATGGCAATGACAAAGTTTGAACATGTTCAAGCACATATACCTTCAATTATATTTCTTCAATGATAGGCTTGTTAGGGTGTCCACTGCCATGGCATCCACAGCGCTTGCTGGCTCGATTGTGGGGCTCTGCGGTGGAAGATCGCTGGCATATTCGGGTGCCAGTTTTGACGACCAGGCGACGCGCATGCGGGTTCGCCCTGGCCGATGCGCGAGCACGGCTCCTTCATGAGTGGCAACTTGCATGATACCGTCGTGGACCCCAGACAGAGACCTGTTCGAAATGTGGAAGGTGAGTTTTGTTTTGTCGCCTGATCATGTTCGGCGGCGAGCGAGGGGCGGAAATGAGAAGGAGAAGGCCTTCTCAGAAGGCTCGAAAGTCTCCCGGCCTTCTGAGAAGTTTGCTGAGCCTTCCCTGAAGACAACAAACATCTCTCAGAAATCGCGAGGGCTTCTGAGAAGTTCCGACGCCTTCTGAGAAGGCCTTCTCCTTCTCATTCCCCACCCCTCGCTCGCCGCCAGCGTGTGGAACCCCATCCTGTAGGACCCCCATCGCGCGGGACCCTAGTCGTATAGGACCCCATCGCGAGGGATCCAACCATGTGGGATCCTGTCGAGTTCAAGGGAAACCAAGAGAGGACCGTCACGCTGCGCACCGCTGGAACTCCAGGCAACCAGGGCCAACCCACGACAGAGCAGGCGCGACACCCCCCACGCGCAATCCGTGCCTGGCACGGGCGGGCCCGTGATCCCCTTCACAGACGCCCTGACGTGCGCCACAGGCGCGGAGGTCCAGAGCCTTCCCGGGGATGCGCGCCTGCGTGGGCGTGCCATCCCTGGTCGACTTTGGGGGGCCCGCGCGAGCACGGGCGCCTCGACGACGCTGGGCGCGCGCGCGGCGGAAAAGGGTCCACAGGACCTCGAGGGCCGCCGCCCCACGGTCTCGAATGCCTTGGAGGGTCAAGCCTACCTGCTTCTAGGAGGCCAACATCTGGGGCCGACGCCAAATACCGTTCCCACGTCCTAGCCAAAAGCGTGTGTGGACATGTTGGGCGCCGTGACGTCCATAGACACTTTCGGGATGGATGCGTCTATGGACAACGTGGCCGTTGCGCTCGGCGCGGTGCAAGGTCGGAGAAGGGGTAGATCCGTCTACGGTATGATCCTGTTCTAGAGCAGGTCCTACATGGTACTTCAGCGAATGCCACGATCTAGCGCCGTGCAGGGGGAGGGGTGGCCGCTGCTTGGCCGCCGCGCAGTGCACTCTGCAGAACAAGCCAAAAGGAGCTGGGCGGGCGAGCCCTTCCTCGCGGCGCGGGCTCGGCGGCGAGCGAGGCTGAGCGAGGGGGGGGGAAGGGGAGAAGGAGCGGGCCTTCCCGGAAGGCGGCGGGTCCTCTTCTCAGAAGCCCGCGCGCCTTCTGAGAGGGTCTTTTCTTTGCCTTCGGGGCAGAAGGCTTAGGAGACTTCTCAGAAGGCCGGGGGGGCTTCAGGGCCCGCTCCTTCTCGGACGCCTGGTGTTTTTTCGGTCACGCCTCGGCTCTCGGGTGGCCGTTCGGGGCGATCTGGGCACCCCCAGAACGCCCTCGGCGAGGCGCCGTCGCTGGAGCGCACCCCGAGGCCGACAGCACCGCCGAGCAGCGCCGAGACCGCCCGAGAACCTCGAAGCTCGAGCCCGGAACTCCCCGCGAACCTCGAGAACCTCGAACCTCGAAGCCCTCGAACCTCGAACCTCGAGAACCTCGAGAACCTCGAGCCCTCGAACCTCGAACCTCGAAGCTCGAGCTCGAGCCGAGGCTTCCCCCCGGGGCTCGCCGCCGAGGCCGC